CTGTAGGTCAGATTGTGAGGCTGGGGGCTTCATGACCCCCAGATGGGACCGATGTAACCCCATCTAACCCCCACTGTACAGACAGATTTGCTGAGGCCCAAGGAGGGACAGGGATTACCCAAGGTCAAACAGGAGTCCCTGGCAGGACAGTGGCAAAGCACCCCACAGCTGCTGCAGGGGCAGGGTGGGGGTCCCTGAGAACGCCCACCTGCGGGTTCTGGAAGAAGGTGTCCTTGTGGTTGATGCAGCCGCCACTGCGGTTCTGTCGCGGGTCCTCGTGCAGTGTCCAGGCGCCATGCAGCCGGGCCTCCTCCCACGTCTTGTGGATGCTCAGGTAGGATGTGTTGATCAGGCGGCACTTGATGATGTCCGTGAAGTACCGGCACACGTCCTCGAAGGTCATCCTGGATGTGGGGAGGGGCTGAGCAGGGTACCGCCCCCACACCTCTCCAGGCTCCTGGCCCCCCAGCCCAGCCACCTAATATGTCCATATGGCCCAGACGTGAGAGAACACAGCTGGCTTTGAGAGGAGAGCTAAGCCCACACAAGGGCATGGGCATGGCATCGCACAGACCCTTAACCTCTTTTCTGACTTGTTTCCTCGCCTGTAAAATGGGGCTGAATCTAACAGCGGGTGCCCATCTCAGAGCTGGCGAAGGAATTAGGTAATGTAATCAAAGCAGGCAATGCAACTCTCAGCAGACAGAGCACATGGGCAAACGCAGGCTGTTACTGTCCTGAATGATTGTGTTAATAACTACTGTCTGCTGCCCTCTACAGTTTATAAAGCACATCTGCATCCACGATCTTCCATGGCTGTTGTGAGGCTTAAGTGGATGGTGGGAACCCCATGGTGAGCGTGCTGCAGCGGCCAGGGTGTTGCTATGGTCACTGCACACTGTGAACGCCTCCAGCGGGCTGGTGGGGGCAGGGGGTAGTGAATTAACTGTGAACATGTAAGAGAAAGGCCTTCGGAAGAAACTCTTTCTGAAGACAAGTAGTTCTGCTGTGTTTTTATCTGCTGACCCCTGAGCAAGACTGGCAAAGTGGCCTGGGTAGCCTTCTGCGGCAGCTGACCTGACACCTGCAGAAGGGCTCCTCATTGGGTGCCAGGACCGCTGCCATCTGCCCCTGGTCTGCCTGGGGGCCCTGAAAAAATTCAGCACACACAGGATGCCTGTACCCCTCCAGGAAGGGGCTGAGTTTACATATCAGGTTCTGCTGAGGGGTGACACTGAGCCTGGCCCACATTCAGGACTCATGCAGGCTGGATGAATGCAGGATGAACCCTTATTACTACTGGGGTTTTTCTTTTTGTTTTTGAAACAGGGTCTTGCTCTTTTGCTCAGGATGGAGTGCAGTGGCGCGATCATGGCTCACTATAACCTCAACCTCCTGGGCTCAAGCAATCCTCCCACCTCAGCCTCCCGAGTAGCTGGGTCTACACGGGTACATCATCACACCCAGCTAATTTTTCATTTTTGTAGAGATGGGGTCCCACTATGCTGCCCAGGCTGGTCTCAAACTCCTGGCCTCAAGCAATCCTTCTACCTCGACCTCCCAAAGTGCTGGGATTATAGACATGAGCCACTGTACCCAGCCAATTACTGGGCTCTTTAAGCTGAGCTGCTGTCATCTTCCCAGCTCACCCATGTACCTACTTAGCTCCCCTCTCAAACCCAGCTGTGTTCTCTCACCTCGGTGCCACGTCTCCTTCCTTGCCCACCAAGGGCTACTCTATAACTCAAGTCTCAGCTTAGGAGCTAGCTCCTCTGGGAGCCTCTGCTACCTAATCTCAGAAATCAGGCTGCCAGAGGGCCCCTGGAGGCAGGCTGCAGGCAGGGCTTCCTGGAGAGGGACTGGGCATAGACCTAGTGCCCCTCGCCACACCACACTGCTGGTGCTGGACTGTGCTTCATATCACCTTACCCTTGCTGGGGAGATCCTGGTGGGCCCACCTCTTAGATGACTCCCTGACCTGCATGCCAAGGGCTCGGTCTGGGTGCCACAGCGGCTCCAGGATCCCTCAGTTTGGCAGAGGGGACTGTGGGGATCAAAGGGCCTGGTATTGCCCGAGTAATTTTACAGAGGAGGAAACAGGCTCTGAGACGGTGTGACTTGTCCATGGCCACACAGCAAGTTGATGATGAGGCATGCAGGAGAGGCCTGGCTCCTGACTCCCCACCTGGTGCTCCCCGCCAGGCCCGTGGGAAGCTCCCCCTCAGCCCCGGACGCCCAGGGCACACACACTCACCAGAACTCACCGTCGTCCTGCACCGTCACACCCATCTTCTCCCGCTCACTCTTGCTCACTTTCTGCCACTCCTCCGAGCTGGGGTGTGAGGGCCGGGGAGGAGAAAGGGAGCTGTCTAAGAGGCAGGCCCACCAGGATCTCTCTGGCAAAGGCGAGGAGGCCCGAGGGGCAGTCTTGCACCAGGCCTCCAGCGGCATGGTGTGGCCAGGGGCACTGGGGCCATGCCCAGCCCCTCTCCAGGAAGCCCTGCCTGCCTCCTCCCTCAAGGGACTGTGAGCTGCCACCATGCTGGGAGGTCTGGAAGCAAAGCTGCAGGCTGGGAGGAGGGGGGCGTGACCCCCAGTGAAGAAGGCTCCTTCACTTAGCACTTGGGCTCCACTCCCATCCTGGCTTCACCAGGACCATGAGCCAAGCACAGAGGGGTCCCCCATTTGCTCAGGGCTGTGGCCTCCCTCCCTGCTCCCATCCCTCACCATTCACCAAGCTGGTCTCTACACCTGCTACGGGTCAGCTCACCTCCAGCCCCAGGTCTTTCTTGTGCTCAATCCATCACCCCATACACCCACTCCAAAGTAATTCATTCCTAGTGTCATCCTCCCCCAGCTCCTTCAAGGCCCAGCCCTGGTGCCACCTCCTCCAAGAAGCCCACACGTCCTTGTCCAAGCCCTCATGCCCTGTGCCTGCACCCCCATCCCCAGGCCTCACGTGTCACTCCAGGGCCCGTTCCACTCCCGCTCGCCCCAGGGGTTGCGTAGGCGGATCATGTCCAACTTCTCTGACTTGAAGAAGGCCAGTAGGCCGTGGCCCAGGCGCACCTTGCGCACATCAGTGACGGCATACGCATGGCCCTTTACCAGGCCGCACGCCAGGCGGGCCTCCATGTCAGCTGCTGTCACTGCCTGTGGAAGGACACAGTTGCTGAGAGAGGCAGGGCCACACTGGAACCCAGACCAGGGACTCAGGTGCTGGAGGGCCAGGAAGCCGCACGGGACCTACAGGATGGGACGGGAATTGCAGTCATGGGGCAGTGCTGTGTTCACAGACCTTTAACACCCCCAAGGGCAGCAGTCTTAGTAAAGGAAGGTACCCACAATGGGTCAGCCCAGGGGAATGCTGGCGCAAATGTGCACTGGCTCGGCTGTTGTTAAATATTCCAGGAACTGTTAAGTATTCAGGAACATTGCTTTGTTTTTTATTTTTGAGACGGAGTTTCGCTCTTGTTGCCCAGGCTGGAGTGCAATGGCACGATCTCAGCTCACCACTACCTCTTTCTCCCGGGTTCAAGCGATTCTCCAGCCTCAGCCTCCCGAGTAGCTGGGATTACAGGCATGCACCACCACGCCCGGCTAATTTTGTATTTTTAGTAGAGATGGGGTTTCTCCATGTTGGTCAGGCTGGTCT